AAGCGGAAATAAAAGTTTCAATTCGTATCTGTAAGGTAACACGGGATGGTAAAGTTCGTAGGGTGGTAGAATTTTACACTTTACCAACCCGTAGAATTTGGAGATGTCTGTGGTTCCTGGTTGATCAATGAATTCTGGATGTCCTGTAGGGTAGTTACATTCTAGGTTTGCGCATGGGTAAAGGGAAATCATGTCACTGTAATGGATCTGTTCTTCATTTTCAATCTTGTGGTACAGTTTGATGGCATTGGTTCGACTGCCAAAAAATGCTTAGCGCGGGTTGAGAGGTGGCACAATGTCAAGTTTATCGACGAACTCTTTCACTTGAATATTAGTGTTTATCATTTGATTCCATTCGTACTCCCACATTTCTCGAACATGATAACCCAAGGTGGTCAATTGTTCGATTTATCCCTTGTTTCTTCACGTACATCGTATATGGTTTTGTTCAAGTGAATGGGATGTTTCATAGATCTGTTCGGAAAACACCTGAGACATCCGTGATAAAAGCATCCTTGGAATTCGTACACGGTATGAGTTTGTTCCTCATACCCGTCAACGAGAAAACTTTTTGTTCCATGCATCAATGCCCTTTCACCTCTATTCCCCACGTGAGCAATTCGGGGTAAGAGATCGGATTTCACGAGTTTGTTTTCTTCCCAATAGAGCCATTTCAATGCAGCATGGGATTGATTGTGTTTGGGTCGCCATCCATGCACTGGTTCTACTGCGATTTTATGTGCTGACATCCATTTTTTTCGGTATGCCATGTTACAGGCAGAAGCGATTGTGATGCATTCTTTCATCGGATTGAAGTTGACAATGTCTTTGAATTGAGATTGAAATGTCATGCACCCCTGCTTGAGTAGTCTCACATCTGATTGGCAGTAGGTCAAGAGCTCGTCATGAAAATTGAAAACGTATCTTTGAGATACCTTATTGTCGTACCATCCGAGAAATTCCTCTTCACGTGTCGGAGACATACCGTCTGGATCATAGTAGGACTTGTCTGGCATGTCTAAACTTAGTCAGGACTGTTACTCGGAGTGGGGGGCCATCCCATCAGGGGTCCCACAGGGCACAAAACTTGGCCCCTGGTTATTTACTATTATGATAAACGACCTCATCATCCCGGGTACAGACATGTGGAAATATGTCGATGACTCCACTATCTCTGAAACAGTCATGAAGTCTGAGGTCAGCAAAGTCCAACAAGCGGTTGACGAACTCACGACGCAAGCTTCTGCTGACAAGTTCCAATTAAATGAAACCAAGTGCAAGGAACTGCGCATAACATTCAGTCACTCTAGAAAGAACTTTGATCCAATGGTTTGATCAGGACTTAGAAGAGCAAGCAAAGATCTTAGGTTTGCAGATATCTTGCGATCTTACGTGGAATAATCACGTATCCGAAGTTGTAAAGAAAGTAAACAAGCACCTGTATTTTTTGCGTGCTTAAGCGTGCACAAGTCAAGTGGAGGAACTTTTGCTCTTCTAAACTGAATATGCATTGTTTATCATCATAGCCTCCCGCAGATACCTTTCAGTAGATGAAGATGTTGTATTATCTATCCAGAACAATGAGGCGCTTCTTTTGACTGGTCTAGCCCTTACACAACCGCCGCGAGTTCTTATGTGATAAGCTTTTTAATTCCATCCTGTCTAATCCCTCGCACAAGCTCTATAGCTTTGGCTCCCAAGAATGAGTGCGAAGTCAATTTAAGGAGTCAGCACTCTTTTACTACACGGCGCCTCCACACCATTCGTACTCGAAATAGTTTTATCCATCACTATGTCCATAAAGCAATGATGTAATATTGTTTTTCTCTTAATTATATATTTTTGTCTTTTTAATTAGTTCTTCTTAGCCATGTATTTTTTGTAGTATATATTTTATTGTAAATCAAACGTAATTCAGCCTGTGGCTGCAAGGTTCTTGATAATAAACTATCTATCTACTATCTATCTACCATGTATCCTACATACTTCTGATTTTCTTGAATGTTGAAGAAATGGGGAAAAAAATCCTTTCTTCAATTCACGGATTCCAAATGTTTTTGGAAAGTTCGATAATGCCATTGGAAAAAAGTTCATAGGGTCAATGAATTTGACATTGGGAATCTCTAGGCTCAAAATTTTGGCTCCATTCACAATTTGCGAGATTAGTCACGTGCTGCTTGTATAGTTCTTTAAGTATGAAATATCCGTCATACCGGTATATTAATCGGTATATTGTCTACCATTTTTTGTAGAGAATCTATGGGAGAATAATCTTGTCTGTTAGTGGCCAAGCTGAAGAGAAGAAGGAAGAAAATTGAAAATGTCTTTTCTTTTATGGTGATTTTACAATGACGTCACCATCAACTTCATCCAATCCACCCATGAAACGTTCATCAGGTGTGATTCTCAACCAATCAAAGATCATGTCAATGTCTTGATGTGTGAATCCAAGACATTCATAAGAGAGTGCCAATTCTTCCGTTCTGAATGACAGCAACTCTTCCAATAACATTTTGCTGACGTTATTTCCTGATATCATGTTTTTGACAAATTCCATGTCTTCATGGTTCAAATTGGGGTGATAAACTCCTCTTTCTCTCAGGGTTTTGATCCATTCATCATAGACGTCATTACACTTGACTTCATGAATTCCATGTTCGAGTTTGTAACTCATTTCATCCACATATTGTAATCTTTGTATAGAAAAGAAAGGATGTATGGATGGTTCAAGTCCTTTCTTTTTATAAATGGTTTTCAAGATAGCAACGAATTAGTATTTTTTCCAGTAATGATTGATAACATCTTTGAATTTTTGTCGTTCCCGTTTAAAAAATTCCGTATCTTTGATTTTCACGTTCATTATCTCAGGATAACACATGAATGAATGAATGAATACACGCGTTGTCACCGATTTATATAAATACCAATGTAAAATCTCCGATTGGTCAGATGAAAGAATGGAACGGATAGGAAAGAAATGGTTATGGCGACACATTTATCAAAGCGAGTTAAATGGGAGAGATACGCTTGTACCTCCTCATTGGGTCGAAAAAGTGAAAACCAAAGAACATGCAGATGCATTGTTTGATTATCTGATCAACGACCCTGACCCTGAAAGAGAATGGAATTTTGGAGTGTTTATTGTACATATGGAAGGGATGAGGGAACAACTAAGAGGAAGGGATTTCCAAAGAGTATTTCTTAAGCGGATCTGTGATGAAGTATGAATATACAAAGGGGATGACTACCCCTAAAAATGGGATAGATTTTTGGAATAGAATGATTGGATTACTCAACTATCGTTTACATAGCAGAATTAAAAGTGGCATGTGAAACTACATAAAAGAGGATAAAGATTTTCAAACCAAACGTCCTCGATGGCCTATATTCAGTTGGCAAAATGTCGGTGGTGTTTACAGACTGTTTATACACAATTCAGGAATCGATGGTAGTTACAGATCTGGGTATCAAAACCAGTTTTACATCCATCTAGACATTGCTAAAGCATTCAAACTGGTGATTCCTAAAAACGGATCTGCGACAGTTGATGATAAAGGGTATCAATTAAGCAGTCTTGTATCTGCAGAACATTTCAGAGATCCCACAAGTACCACTGTAAGCTTGGGAGGTGGTGAACATAGATTATGGACTATAATCGACGCTAAAGAGACTGGATTCGAAGGAGTTACGAGCAAATCATTGTTTTTACATTTACAGGCTTCTGTCAATTGGTACATTTACGAATTGGGTCATGCCTACCACAGTCCACTACATCAAAAACGACCTTTGTACGTCTACACAGATCTTGTACAGACACAGATCATGGGTAAATCAGAAACCGATCTTTTGAGAGAGGTCGAATATGACGGATCTACTGATGGAAACATAGAACCCCATAATCTGCAATTCATACCCCTAAGAAAAAACACGTTTGATACTGTGGAACCCCATAATCTGCAATTCATACCCCTAAGAAAAAAGACGTTTGATACTGTAAAACTTGGAATTAGCAAAGTGGATGGAACTCAAACTCAGTTTTTGAGAGTATGAAATGAACCCACTGTAATAATGTTGTGTTTTAAAAGACGTGGTAAGTCACGAGTATATAAATAAAAAAAATTGTAACAACATTCACTTAGTTTCATTGTACTGTTATAAGAATGAGTTTCTACGTGACATTACCTTGGAATGCAAGTCAGGTTACTTACCCTGGAAATACAGCCAGTAACTACACAGTAAAACTACCTGAAAGTATATATCTACCAGAAAGTGATTGGGAAGTGGCACTGGCTAGTATTTCTTTTCCGGATTTGATAAGTCAAGTGGCGGAAAGCGAGGATGCGACATACGATTTGAAAACTCGCATATCTATGATCATGAATTACAAAATGATTTGTAAGGTTCTATACATCAACGATAAACCAATACCGGTGAAAAAAGATGGAAAAAACGTCAAGAGCAAGGATGGAAATACTCTGTATTACCATAAGGTAGGTAGTCCTGTGAGATTGGATTTGGAAGAATTGGGCATGAGATTTCCCAAATCCATACAAAGTGGATATGAAATTTGGACTCGTATGACGAATGTACTCACGGATCAGATGTATCGCACGTTTGAGGATGTCAACGATATCAGAGGAGGTCAAGGAAAGAGACTTGCAGATTGGAAGAGTGCTGTTACTAAAAAGGGGCATCACCCTTAATTTGAATGGGTGCCAAATGCCGACAGTTTCGATCTCAAGATCAATAATGAAGACGTGCAATACTTGGACGTTTTCAACAATACAGAAGAAACATCTTCTGGACCTGTAAATTATTTTCTGGAGGAATTGATCATACAGTTTTTGAATGAAAACTACGTAGACATTGAATTGGAATTGGCCAAACACCAACCAACATCACTTACAATGGATACCGTATTGTGGAAGTCAACCCCACCAGTGAAAGTATTACCCCTATAGAATTTGTGATACCTGGATTTTGGTAGAAGTTATTTTCGTATGGAATTGGTTCTGAAAACAACCGCTGGAGCAAATCTGGCTGATGCATCGCAACGTTGGCTAGCTCTGAACGCATTTCACACTATCATCAAACAACCTTCCGTGTACGTCAATGGAACCCTGACCACCGAACAAACAGACACGTATGCATACAAATCGTATATTGAAACGATACTCAATTATGGTACAGAAGATGAAGACACCATTCTAAGACCTCAGGGGTATTACTCTGGTCTAGATTATCCAACTCACGTTCAACTTGTAGCCAATAACATCGACCAGACACATGCCGACTACAAAGCTTTACCGGCTGAAAAAAGAAAAGCCATCGATGGACTCCTAAAAATGAGAGGAAGAACCACGGGAGGTAAAACCATCATCTTGTATGGCATGCCGCATGTGGATTTGTTCAATACAGGAAGAATGCTTATACCGGGGGTAGATTTGAAAATCAGGTTCATGCTCAATGACCCTAAATTCTTCATGAATGGAATTACTGCAGTAAACACTGATGTTAGGTTAAAAGCAGGCGATTTGAATATGAAATTTTATGCATGCATGGTCAAAGTGAGGTCAGACGTGTACAATCATATTGCTTCAGCTAGACTGCAGAGGAATCTGGATGTCCATTATTGCACAGTGAGATCAGAAATCAGGACCTACACATTGCAAAACCTTCACAGTACATTTGAAGCTACAGACATGTTCAACGGGAGAGTCCCAGACCGTGTGGTTGTAGGCATTGTATACCAAGATGCTTTCTCAGGGAAATACGGCTACAACCCTTTCATTTTCAAAAAAGATAAAATAACAAGCATCAAACAGGTGGTGGAGGGAGAAGAATACCCGTATCTACCCTTAGAACTTCACGGGGCTGACAATGAATTGGATATGTCAGGGTATCACAGACTTCTTCAAGCCAATTGCACTAAATACAGAGGAAAATGTATGATCAAACCAGAACATTGGGGAAAAGATAAGGGGACAACGGTATTCATGTGGGACAATGTAGCCTCAGGATGTGCAGACAGTGTACGGTTGAACCCTAAACAGGAAGGACGTGTCAAAATCTCACTCTGAAAGACAGCTGTAGATCATTTACTGGTAGTCATCATCTACAGTGAATTCGAAAACATGTTGCAGATAAAACCTACAGGTAGTACTCAGTACGACATTTACAGTCAATCTCTAGCAGGAAGAATCCAGTAAGAAAGAAAAAATGGAATTCGTTCCATTTACTACGGAGCAATTATCTTATCTCGCTAAACAAGATGCATGCCTCGCCTATCTTCGAAGGAGTGTTTGCCGCAGACCAATTACTGGGATCACCAGAAAAAATTCAAGACAGAGCTTACATCGTTAACACCGACAAAATCGATAAACCTGGAACTCATTGGTTGGCTATCTTCACTAAAAACTACAAATGTGAAGTCTTTGATAGTTACAGATTACCATTGAATTGGTACAAACCATCCGATGTTGTTGAGTGGGTTTTCGAAAATTTTGAAACCATCAACAGTAACGAAGTGACATTGCAAGAAATGGAATCACAATCGTGTGGACAATATGCATTAATGTATTTGAAAATGAAAGCCAGGGGTAAAAGCATGCACGATTTCACAAGTTTGTTTAAAAAAGGCGATTATGTATACAATGATCATTTAGTGGGGGAAATGGTCAAACCATTGTTGGGATGGAAAGTTAGGAATCTTAAATGTTGCAAACAAGACAATAGCGGATGTTGTCGTTTGGATATATAAATAAAAACACTTTTTTTTCATTTACATACATTACAAAAAAAACATGAAGTCTTGTGGATCGTTTAAGTTTCACAGTCCGTGTAGCATCATGGTTGTAGGACCTTCTAGTTGCGGTAAAACAGTCTTTGTAGAAAAACTATTGAAAGAAAGAAGTCAATTGTTTACACCACCGTATAATCCAGTGGTCTATTGCTACGGTGCCAACCAACCCACCATGATTGAAAGAATGAAAAAAGAACAAGGAATACATTTCTACGAAGGAATTCCGGATACCCAATTATTGGATAAATGGTTTAAAAAAACCAAAGGAGGAATCTTGGTACTAGACGATCTCATGCGCGAAGGAAGTGACGACCATAGAGTCTTAGATCTGTTTACCAGAGATTCACATCATAGAGGTATCAATGTCATTTTCATGACTCAAGACATGTTTCCTAAAGGTAAACATGCCAAAACCACCTCCAGAAATGCCCATTACATCATTGCCTTCAAGAATCCTCACGATCAATTGGGTGTATGCATTCTCACACAACAAACCTTTCCTCAAGAATTCAAAGATATGTTAAACGTATATAGAGATGCCACAGAGAGACCCTACGGGTATTTAATGTTTGATCTACATCCAAATTCATCGGATAGTGAAAGGTTAAAAACCAATCTATTGAGAGACGAAGGATATACCAGTGTATCAGAAAAAGAAACAACGAGTAGTAATCCAGTCATCGGTTCACCGTCTAGTTTTAGTAATATGAGTCGAGCTGAATAAGATCTGGTAGCTTAAGCTGCAGTAGCATCTGGATTTAATCCCTACGATATTTTGTATGGTTCACCACCCAATATCAATTCACCGCCTTTAGGACCGCGTACTTCTACACCTGCAGGGACCAGTGTAGCATCAGACTTGTCATTTGAAGCTCAATTTTGACCTTCTATTCCACCCACTCCTTCACCCACACCCAGGAGGGGAACATGGTCAACCTGCTTCCTTATTACATTTGGCTAGAGAACAGGTATGTGCACAAGGTATCAACCCTATGGAATTCATGGCACGACCCCTGCGCGAAGCAGGAAGATGAGGTGGAGTAGGACCGATTGTCATACCACCTTACACACCGCCAAGTCTGATACCTAGTTCCTTAGAGTTTTCATCTCCTAGAAGTTAATCTAGTTCAAGAAGACGTAGAGGGCAAGGACGGGGACGAGGATGGGGAAGAAGACCTCCCTCCTCGACCCCTCCGGGGTTGGGCAGACGGCGGCAGGCAGGAGCAGCGGGCGGCGGCAGCGGAGGAGATGATGATGATGATGATGGTGGTGGTAATACCAGTAATAACAGTAGTGGGTACAGGAGAAATCAGAGACAGAAAGAATTGTTACGAGAACTTCAAAGATTACAACAAGATAATATTGAAAAGAGTCGAGGAAGACAAATTGCTGGAGTCACTCACACCAATACAATAACGACCACATATAAAGATGGTGGTACACCCACAGTGAGTAGAACCTCCAGTACAGTAAGCAATTAGGATGGAAAGAATTCATAGACAAAAACCGTTTTTAAAAGCCATGACTTCAGCAGCTAATAGAAACAGGAGAAAAACTTTGATCAAACACGCCAACAAAGATCAAGTCAATGCTGTGAGTGAAATCGTGTTCAATTTACTCAAAAACAATGTGCCTGTCACACCCGTCACCATGGCCAGATTAAAACCTTACAAGCAAACCCTGAGAAAAATTGGAAATCGAGCTGTATCGCTTAAAAAGAGAAGACAAGCGTTAATAAATCAGAAAGGTGGAAGGTTGTGGAATGGGTTATCTACTGTAGTCAAGTCTTGTTGTCATTAACAGGAAAAAAAAAATGGCTTATCAAAAAACTGTACATGATTCCAGCCGAAGATCTGGCTATGGTCAATCTTTTCAAAGGACGTTTGACGGATGATCCTACGTTGGATTGAGCGGCTAAACTCGTGAGTCGTAAAATGGATATTTTAAAGAATCCTAAAACAAGTCAAAGTTTCAAAAAGCAAGCTATCAAACAGATTGATCCTGATATAGAACTATACAATTAAAAAATTGAGGCAACTACCAGCATCATTATCGGTCAATATGCCTTATCTCAAATGAAAGGTTATCTACTTGGCAAAGTGGCAATAAGAAATTGCACTCTACGGAAACCTCTTTAATACGAACTACTGATACTCTCTTAAGTGCGATCAATGAGAAGAAAGTTACCGCTGTTGTTTTACTTGATATGAGCAAAGCCTTCGATACTATAAGCCATGGAATATTGCTCAATAAACTGTTGAACGTTGGAATCTCACCATCAAGCATTGCTTGGTTTACCAGCTACCTCTCTGACCGCCGACAAGTTGTGCACATAAATTCTGAGTTGTCTGATCCTCTACCCGTTGTATCAGGCAAGCCTCAAGGAAGCATTGTTGGACCTATGTTGTTCAGTATTTATGTAAACAACTTACCACTCGCCCCCCTTTCCTGTTTTACTGAAAGTTACGTCGATGACACAAAACTTTACATTTCTTTCCCAGTCCACGACTGGGCTAAATCTGTCACCGATTTAAACGCCGATCTTTTACATATTCGAAACTGGTGCTTCAATAATCGTCTTCTTTTGAATCCTGGTAAAACCAAACTCATTGTATATGGAAGTCGACAAAGGCTACTAAACCTCCCCGATATCCGACTCTCCCTCTTAGGAAAAGAGCTGACACTGGAGAACGTCGTTAAAGACCTAGGTGTGATTTTTTATTCAAACCTAACTTTCCACGAGCACATTGTTAAAACTGTTTCCACCTGTTTCTCAAGTTTGGCCCAGATTAATTTTGTTAAGCATGTATTTGACAGATCGACTTTAATTACTATAATTAACACTTTAGTATTTAGTAAGTTGTTTTATTGTTCCTCCGTCTGGTCCAATGCTGCTGACACTAACCTCCTCAAGCTCCAAGCGATCCTGAACTTTGCAGCCCGGATTATTTGTGGATCCAGAAAATTTGACCACGTTACTCCGCTTTTGAAAGAACTGCATTGGCTACCTATTAAATCTCAGCTATACTTCCGTGACGCCGTGCTTGCTTTTAAATGTATGACTGGATCTGCTCCTACTTACCTCTCTTCGAAGTTTCTAATGCGCGGTAATGTTAGCGGTCGCACAACCAGAAGCTCCAAACTGTTGCACATACCATAATACAAAACTAAATCTGGACAAAGAACTTTTTATTATCGCACTGTCAGCCTGTGGAACAGTTTAGATAATGATCTTAAACTTTGTAATTCTTCTTCTAATTTTAAGCGTAAACTTAGGGCCAAATTATTTGCTGCTTTTCTTTCTCCTTGGTCCTAGTTTTTAATCATATCATACATAATTTTTATTGTCCTTTTTTAAAGTTTCTTAGCTTTTATCTTACCCATTTTATCGTACCTTCTTAAAGTTTCTTAGTTGTAATTTTTGTAATTATTTTTAGCTTTATAAATTAAACATTTTTATTCTTGTAATTATTAATTGTCACTGAAAAGCCCTCTTAGGGAGTGTCAATAAAGTTTGTATTGTATTGTAATGCAGATCCTACCAAGTTGGCCAAATCATTAAAAGATGAAGAAGGGGATTTGGTCACTCCTATGCAACAGAAATTGCTTAAAAGAATTTTGAGTCAAGTCAAACCCAAAAGAGAACCGGTCACCACACCCAGAAAAGTACCCAAGAGAGAACCAGTGACACCACCACCGACACTTCCCATCAAAATACTCAAAAAACAACCAGCAACAGTACCAGAAAACATACTGTGGAGTGAATTACCGTTTGCTGAAGAAGGACCTGAACCTGACCTAGAAGGTGCATTAAAGAAAACTTTGAGAAAGATGAGAACGACACCACAATACCTCAAACAGAGGTAGCAGCCAAAGGGTGGACAAGTTGGGATCCATCAGGAAAAAAGCAGAAAAAATCAAAGAGTTCTATTTGGGTTTCTGTCGTTAAACCTTTAGATTCTATTGCAAAACGATTAGCATTTGATGGTGGTGGTGGTGGTGGTGGTGCTGGTGGTGGAAGTAGTAGTAGTAGTAAAACTTAGAAAAAAGAATTTTATTTGACATGTTTCTTTAAAAAATAAAAAACACCTATTTTTTTCATATGTCTCTTGTCATAAAAATTAACATACAGGGGGATGGGGGGTACCCCCTCCTAGGATACCACATGTCAACGGTGACAGATGTACTATATAAAGGAACACCTTCATCGCATGAAGTCGCATTCTTCACAAACCTTAAGCTTGAGTAAACAAAGTACAACAACAACAACAACAACAA